CCCCCGGGGGTAGCCGGGCGCGGGGCTCGGTGAGGCCCGAGCCGCCCCGTCTCGGGGGCTTCGCTCCTCTGCCCGGGCCTGGGCGGGCGGCTTCCTTATGGCCCCTCTACCCTACCCGCCTCTCCGTGGTTGTCACCGGCGTTTCCTGCTGGGAGAGGAACGCTCCTCTCGAGGGGAGCAACAGCTGGGAAAACTGGCATCAGAGGAGCAGCCCGGACCGTTCAGTGGGAGGGCAGCTTTCGTCTTTATTTAAATTTTATCGATTTGCTTTCTCTTGGGGACTGATATTCCACCTAGAGCTTCCTGCAGCAATATTTCTGTGAGTCTTTTTGTTGACCAGCAAAGCGTTGAAGCGCTGTGGCACTGGGTCTGGTTGTAGTACTGGGCACTGTTATAGTACTGGCTTGGTGGCAGGGATGGAGATGTGTGCCTAATCTACAGGCTATGTATATATATGTGTGGGGGGTTCTTATACTCGCATACACACACACACGCATATATATATATATGAATCTACATCTGTTCATTACCAAGCTAGCACAGGACAGTATTACAGATGACCATGACATTGGCCTTGATGGTATTTGTTTGCCCCCTTGCAACAGATTTTATTTGCTACTGATCACTGTTGGTCAGATGTGATTATCTTCATGAGGAAAAAAAATCCCAAAGTTCATTATTTTTTAATTACTTTAAATTATTTTAGTGTTTAGGAGAGCAGTCATAGATCAAGGTGCTGTCGGGTTCGGTGCTGCTCAGGCACAGAACAGGAAGACAATCCTATTTAGCTTTATAGCTAAATAGTGTTGTTCCAGCTTTTGGAAAAGAACCTGTTGTCATTTTAAGGCTCTGGCTCCTATGCATCCCTCTTGAGAAGCCAGCTCTGGACAAATAAGGTAATAGTCCTTGCTTTAAGGACTCTACTTCAGATAAAGGTACCGTGCACAGCACCGAACTTCAGTTCATGCCATTAGAAACTATATTTACATTTGCCACATTACTCCATTTTCACCATGTGCCTTCTGCATCACAGTCTCATGGTTAAGTGAGTCCCCTTAGAGATCACTGACAGTTTCTCATAACTGTGTCAAAGTAAAGGTATATGGAGACTTGTAGGAGATACCCTTCTAACTTAGACCCAGAATATTATTATTTTCTTGATATTCTTGTGTGCATTTGATATGCAGCTCATATACCATAATGGGTATACTTGTTTTTTATAGTAGTAGTAGTTTTACAACAAACTCTTTGGATGTTTGAAAGCACAGCTTTAATTGCTCTAAGCCCGAGTGTGAAGCTTACTCCATTGTAAAAATGAAGGAAAAGCAGGGAAGTAAAATAATGATAACAATTTATACTTTTGTGCCTTCTTGTGATAAACAAAGGTGATACATTAATGCTTTGAATTTATTTCATTGTCTTTTTTTAATTATTTTTCTCTTCTACTTCTGTCTTACGCATTTGGCAAGAACTTAGCACGTTTCTTGAGCACAAATGCACATAAGCACTTTGTGAGCTCAAAGGAAAAAAAAAGTCTTCTGTGAATAGTTCCATGGTTGGAGCATACTTTCTTTTTTCTTTCTTTTCAAGTTGAGAAATCCCTGATACTTAAATTTTCTTTTTCTCTAGTATAGCTGTGTGTGAATACTTTTCTAAGAGTGTCAGTACTCTGAAAATTTTTGAATGACTTAGTCTGATTTGCAAATACAATAGAAAAAATAGCACAGAAGCTTGTATTTTTTTTTTCTTTTCTTTTCTTTTCTTTTCTTTTTTTCTTACCTTCTTTTCTTTTCTTTTCTTTTCTTTTCTTTTCTTTTCTTTTCTTTTCTTTTCTTTTCTTTTCTTTTCTTTTCTTTTCTTTTCTTTTCTTTTCTTTTCTTTCTTTCTTTTTTTTTTTTTTAATTTAAATGTTCTCCCTTAACTACTACTACTTTTTTCTTTCCCCCTCCCTTGCCCCTTGGTATACTTAGACTAATAACGATGATGAGTTTTTGGCCAAGCTAAAATGATATTCCTAGTCCTTTTGATGCTTTTTCTGTTTGTTTGTTTTGTTTGCTGCATGCTTCATAGGTTGTTTCTGCAAACAGAGCAAGAAGTTTGTTTTATTTTGTATGCAAACTGAAATACTCTTGTAGATGCCAGTTGTTCTTCCTTGCTGCATAATTGTACAGCAATTAAACATTCTATGAAACTCTTGTCTGACAGATCCTAGAGCTGCTGATTCAGAGGGATGGAGAGTTTCAAGAGCTAATGAAGCTGGCAGTTGATCAAGGAAAAATCCATCATGAAATGCAACTTTTAGAAAAGGTAGTAGAGAAGAGGGACAGTGATATTCAGCAGCTGCAGAAACAACTAAAAGAAGCAGAGCACGTTCTGGTAAGTTCATAGGTGATGTGCTTGAACACCTACTTGTGATAAAGGTGCTTCTGGAGAAAGCAGCATAATGTTAGTTTGAAAAGATTAAATATTTACATTTTCACAATGGCTTTAGTTTTTTTTTTTTTTTTTTTTTTTTTGCTTTTTAGTAGTCAAACGCTGTTACTTATCAGGGTATTCATTTTTGTTTTATAATGTTAATTTTCTTCCAAGTGTAGTTTACTTTTGCATATTTTTCTGAATAGTTTATCAAGGTTCTATTCACAGATCTCTTTTTAGGCAGAAGTTTACAAATTAATGATTCATTGGAGTTTTTTGTTTGTTTTGTCATTTATAACTAGGCGACAGCTGTTTATCAAGCAAAGGAGAAGTTGAAATCAATTGAAAAGGCAAGAAAAGGTGCGTTTCTATGGTCATGCATACTACACGTGCAATTGTAAGGAAGGTTGCTACTGAGTTCACATTTTCAAAAGTTTTTAATGCAAAAATCACAGATTTCAGATGCTTTCTGTATAAATACTTTTCTGTTTCATTATGAGTAATGAAACACTGTAAACCATTTCATCAGAACAAAGGCTGAATGTACGTTTTAAGAATGATACATGTAGCAAATATATCTTAATATCCAGTGTCTCCAGAGTCTTCTTGCACTGGTAATAGTCTGATTACGTAAGCGCCTCACCAAGGCAATTATCCTGGTTGGCCTAATGAGTAGAGGGAGAGTGCGTCTCTGTGCATGTACATGCATATACATAACATTGAATATGAAAGACTGGCTAGATGGTGATGTATTTGTAGCATTTATTGCTGCTCTGTGGCATTTGCCAAACTACATGAGTTAGGGTTTTTTATTTTACTTTTTTAATGGGGATGCATTTTGCATTCAATGTAGTATCTTTTGTTGTTTTATCATACCTAAATGCTTGAAATGAAAAAAAGTTATTTCACCAACATTGTATCACTTGCAATGCTGCTACGTATGTAGAAAGGTTGCTACATGCATGCTCAACTGTTACTACAAACAGAAAATTCAGCTATGTGTTGTAGGGCAAACTCTACAGTGAAGCAGGTGCTGGAGTTTTCTTATAGACTGTGCTTGTGACTGTGCTGCTCAGAAGATTGGTTTGTGTTTTTCACAAGGCTGAACAACTGTTGACTTTGAAGGTATATGGAGTTCATGACTGTAAAGCCACTTTACTGCAAAGTTTGTCCTTTTGGTGTCCAAGCATCCTGTAAGTGGTCACTGCATTTGGAGCATGCCCCTTATGTCTGACAAAATGACATTTCCAATCTTTGACAGAGGGCTCAATAACCTGGAATAACTGAACGGTGTAATCTTTGAGGACCTAGCAACTTTCCTTCATTTCTTCCAGGTGCCATTTCCTCCGAAGAAATAATTAAATATGCCCATAGGATCAGTGCTAGCAATGCTGTTTGTGCCCCTCTGACATGGGTACCAGGTAACTATCATGCTTATTTATTTTTCTTTTTGAAATGAAATGCAGCCAGTATCTGGACCTAAAATGCCCATGTATAACAACAACAAACTTTATTTGGTTTGTTAGGGGCATATGTTGTTTTCAGGTGCAATATCTGCAAACAGATATCCATCAGAATTGGATATCCGAAGTCCTGTAGACTTGTAGCTTCAAAGACTATGAATCTACAGGCTTCCATTAACTTACTGGCATTCTCTGCTGTCTTTGCTTGCTCTGTTTTCCTGTATGTTGAATATAAACCTGAACCAAGAGTGTTAAGGGCTTTTTCCATGTGTCCAATTGTGTCTCCCCTTCGTGTATTCCTTTCAGAGGGAGTTAATAATCAGTGGAGTCAGAAGTAGGGATTTTGTTATGCCAGGCTGCAATTTTGGGAATTTTCCTACCTAGCCAGATGAGATTTTGTTCCTTCCAATTCCTGTCTTTACTGGTTAGCTATGAAGTAGCAGGGAGAACAAAGATTTAAACATAGGTTTCTTGAGGACTTCTGCTGCACAATGTGAATGAACATAGCCAAAATGAAGGACACAGACGTGGATTTTTTTTTTTATGGAATAGGTGTGATGCTCATTGCTAATAATTAGCTCTTTTTTGGCCAGTAAACTAGGCACTGAAGAAAAAGGTAATATCTGCAAGTATCTGCAATGTTTTTATTGAAAAACATTTTCTTTTTAAGGGGACCCTCGTAGGCCATATCCTACAGATCTGGAAATGAGGAGTGGTCTCTTGGGTCAGATGAACAACCCATCCACCAATGGAGTTAATGGGCACTTACCAGGAGATGCACTTGCAGCAGGCAGACTGCCAGGTAAGCGGATCTCAGCTGTGTTGCTTTTCTTTAGTCCTTGTATAATCATAGCAGTTATGAGTGTTCCTTAGCAATGGCAAAACAGAATTAAAATAATGAAAATTATGGCCAATATTGTTCCTTAGTGGTGAAGAACTAGTAAAAATGGTTAGAATCCACAAAGTTTCTTTTTTATTTCATGCCAAGTCATTCTGCAGAAACTAGACTATAAGCCAACATAAACAAAAAATCACATTAGTTGCCCTTCAGGTCACTTGTTTTAAATTACTCTAAATTAAGTGATATCAAATATTGTTTTTTTTAAAAAACATTTCCACTGCACACTTTTCTTGCAGTGAAAGTACAGAATTGTGAAAGGTGTATTCAGAAGAGGTTTGTTGTTTTCCCTACTTCCCTATAGCAAGACATTAGAAGTTCCCGTTTGAAAATGCATTGGCAAGGACAGTTGGTGAGGCTTAGTGTAGGAATTAATGTTAAAAGCCTAATTGGTTAATGTAATGGACATTTCTCCGGACTTTAATGGGTTTCATTCATTCCTTTATGCAACAATATAATTTAGTGGCAAATTGCAGTCACTGCATGGAGAATTCGGTGGAATAGCTGTGTATTTAAGCAGCCTTAATCTTATCGGGGTTAGGCTAAAGTATGGCAAAATTCTTACTTTGAATATTCAGAAAATCTATAACAATTCTTACCTGTCTATTTAGCTTGTAGTAATTAGGAAAAAACTTTTTGAAATGCACTGATTTTTTGAATTATTTTGAATTTTTGAATACACCAAAAAAGCTTTATTACAAGTGCCTTGAAAGGGGGAAGTGTCTCCAGTCATATATGTAATCCTAATATCACCTCTTGACAAGTCAATTAAAGTTTAATGTCATCTCCCTCTCTAAACCTCTGACCCTAGAGAAAACAGAGAAACCCGTGTGAGGTTTCTCTCAGACAGGTCTGTATGCCTTTCTCTTGTTGCAAAATATGGTCAGAGAGGTTAAGGTTATCTCTTCCTCTTGGATGTTAAGGTAATCTCTTCCTCTTGCAGCATAGTAGAAGTTGAGCTTCCATGCCTAAGGCCTGGAGGAGTGGATTTAGGGCAGCTCCGCTGCTTTAAAGAATTCAAATTTGCTCCCTTCACTTTTGAGTAGTCTCTGTAAGAACTGAAAGCTCACTGTTTAGGGCTTTCCTAGAGCCTGCAAAAATGCAGGATTTAAACTCTTAAAGCAAAGGAGTTAGTTGAAACTGGGTACCCTATGTCAGATCCTCTAATTACTAGGCTGACAAGTCTAGACTAGTCTAGACTAGACTAGATTACAAGACTGACATCGCAAATTCGTTCAAAAGCAAGCAGAGGACATGACGCTGACATGATGCTTTCTGTAGGAATCCTGAATCTGTGTGGGGTGTGGCAGGCACATCCTGAGAATGCTTATTTTGACATCTAGTTCTTTTAGAGACTTCCACAGAGAAATGTCTAGTTCCTGAGTCCTTATTGAGGCTAGCTGTGAGCTGGCCTCTGGGGTGCTTGATGGCCTCAAAACTTGAGCTTTTCAGTATACTCTCACTCTGGTTGAACAGTGCAGTGATTGAAATGTTGAAGCATGGCCACAGGAGCCAAACCACTGGTTTACACACTCAGCTGGTTCAAACAGAATTGGTTAAGTTTACCTCGGCAGGAATAAACCCTAGTCCTATTCTTAGTCTTCCCAAAGCAGGCAGGAAACTGGCATAAAGGCTGAATTGTGTCTTCCAGTCTGCTTGGCCGTCAAACTTGCACAGTTAGGAAAGGCAGTAACCTAAAGTAACACAGTGTTTGGTGTTGGGGCTGGGGTTCCACATGTGGAGTCTCAGGTGTGTGGAAAAGGTGTGATCAAAAGCTTTCATGTGGATTCTGGGTGCATCTGAGTCTACCAGTGGCTGAGTATTTTTACCCTATATGACCCCTGGCAGTGTCCTCCCTTTCTGCCCGTGCGAGTGGGTTTTTGTTAAATTCGGAGTCTTGTTTAGTTATTTTTAATTCTTGCTGTAAGCAGGATATAGTTGGTTTTCTCTGATAATGACAGTGACTGGTAATAAGAGGGACGGATCGGAAACACAGCAGTGGGACCACAGTTTAGAAAGAAGGGAGCAGAAATGACACTGCATATGCATATTGTGCCTTGGAAGTGGGAGGTATTTTTAGGGGCAAGGAAGGAAGGGAGTGACAAGGAAGTGGGGAGGCTGAGGGGTCTCCAGTATGTTGGTGGGGAGATGCAGGATGGGAGGGTTCTAGATGTTGGAGACTGGAAGAAATAACGAGGGGCCAGAGAAGCTGGCCTGGCCGGGGCACTGCAGGGCCCTTCCCTCCCTCACACTCACCTCTGTCTTAGACCCTGGTCTTGTAGTGGAACTGTATTTAGCAGGTGGTGCACTTTGTTCGCTGGTGGAAGTATGATACCCAAGGTGCTTCAGCCAAATTCACAACGAGACCTTTAAGTTTGAATTTATGTGGCCTACCTTAGCTATTGATTTATCCTTTCATGTAGTGTTTTTTATTTTTGCATACTGACAGGGGGTGGCCATTTTCACAACTGTCTGCGGTTGTGAAAGTTAGTTCAAACTGCTTTGAAGATGAAAAGCTCGGTATGAGTATATACCGTTTGAAGTGGAGTGATGAGAGATTAAGAGCCACATGTATTACTGGGCCTCTGGCAGAAGAGACTTTTATACTGAGGGAATGGCTCTGTTATGAGATGTCTCCCAGCTGCTTCTTCAGTTTCAGCTGTCCATTTTACAATGAAAACAAATCATAAAATCCTTGCTGAGTTTTGGAGTTCTCTTGAGCAGTCCCATTGATTTTGTGAATATAAAGAGCTGATACTTCATTGATTAAACCCCTTTTGTTCCAGATGTGCTAGCTCCCCAGTACCCTTGGCAGTCAAGCGATATGTCCATGAACATGCTACCTCCTAACCATAGCAACGACTTCTTGCTGGAGCCCCCGGGACACAATAAAGAGAACGAAGACGATGTGGAAGTGATGTCGACAGACTCCTCGAGCAGCAGCAGCGACTCAGACTAGGTACAAGGAGGGCAGTATCCCTGGTAGACCTTTCCTGTGGTGAAGGCAGGTAGGACGCTTTTCGTCACAAACTGCAATACCCGCTGTCACACTGGTGGCCCTGTGCAGGGAGAAGATGCAGCTGGTGCAGAAAGAGGGTGACTAATTTAAAACCATGGACTTCTAGATTTTTTTTTTTCCATGAGATGCCCAAACAAAAATGGCTGAGACCTTTTTGCTGGAGGAGAGATACAAAATTTGGGGTCATTATGTAAATGTGAGAGTGTGTATGTTTGCAAGAGACATGTGCGTGTCTGTGTGTGTGTGTATATGTATATATATATATTTACTATACATTAGAGGACAAAAGTTCCTGGGAAAAAAAGGTGTAAGGGGAATCCCCTTTTATGTTTGTTAGTAACTTTACTCTTTTGATGACAGCCTTTTCTATGGCACAGAAATAACGCATGAAATTTGTAATTTTAATATTTTTATGTTACTGCCAAAATCCACGTTCTTGATCATCTTGTGTGTTCTGAGAACAAAAATATGGCAATAAGGTGTAATAAAAATGTTTGTAATTATTGTAATATATAATAAATGATTTGTAATAAATAAACTTTGTGTAACTTTATCAGTTTGCAATCTTAAATCTTAGATAAATAGTTGTGTAGCTTCCTTACTCGCCACATTTTATCCTAGTAGGTGGTTGGTTGAGCGAGTTTTGGAGGCTTATACTCCCAATTTTCTTTTCAAATGGCTCTGTGAAGACTGGAAGCAGCTAAGCAGTCAGCCTGTCCTTGTAGCAGTTTTTCTTTGCTGGACATCCACAGACAGCACTGCAGAGTTTGGTACGGCGACGTCAGCCACACACTAAGCAGGTATCATGGGACCCAGGGCTGGTGCATTCTGGGTCCCACTGCACTTTCAGCTCCTTTCAGTTCAAAGTGTTCAAGAGTTTTTTTTTTTTTTTTTTTTTTTTTTCTTGTTCCTGGCATCTACATTTTCTTCAGTCCTGTGAAACTGCTGATTTGTTTACTTAAGCAGTTGCATTTCCTGTCTCGGCTACACTGTTCTTTCATCTTTCCAAAGACACGTCCCTTGCCTTTCCTTACCTCGTTCTGCTTTGTTTAGGGAGTCATATGACAGCTCCTTTTCTCTCTGGTTCCAATTTGATCAGAGCTTGCTTAGGCTCCCTGGTGCTCATGCCAATTACAAGTTTCTGCCCTACAACTCAGTTTCCTGATGAGAACTGTGCTTTCCCATCATGTGGAAGCTGTTCATTTCTTAATGCTTCATTTGCTTAATTTTCTTAGTATTTATCCTGTAACACTGCCCCACCTGACTAACATGTGTCCTGTAGGGATACAGAAGTGAAAAGGACCTTTGCAGTCAGGTTCAATCACAAGGTATTAGGTAGGGGATTTTGTTTGGAGAGGGAGCTGGCAATTTGTTTGTCTCAACTATTCCTTTCTGAACTTACTTCAAAAAGAGCCTCAAAAGATTTCGCCTTTGTACTTGGCAGTTTAAAGTGATATATATATATTTTTTAACTTTGTGCCAATGTTATCTTCTCTTTTGTTGTGTTTACCATAATCATATTTTTAGAGCAACTGTATTTCCCCTTTACTTCTATATGAGTCCAAATGAGGCTGGCGCCTTGACAACCCTTCCTAGTCAGCTTTGCCTACTCTGCTCTTGTTCATATTGTTGTTCTTAAACATGAGCAATCAATCATACATAATACTGAAGAGAGCAGTTTCTTCATGCTTTGTATGATGGCATTGGTATGTTCTTTCCTAAAAGCCCCTTCTTTGATCTGTCTTAGGACACAGCACCAATGCAAGAGACATTAAAGCAAGTCACAAATTGCTGTTAGCTGATTGCAGTAAGGCACTGTAGTCATTTAATCAGTCCACTTGGGATACAGTAACCCTGACACATGGAGATACTCTGTGTCCTAATTTCAGCAACTTCACTTGTACACTTACAACAGACAGAATGAACATAACCAATACATGTAATGAAGCATTTATTGTATTACAAATCATTTTACAATAACTCATTATTTTGCATCAAGGACTTGGATGCTTTCTAGCATTTACAATAGCATAAAATCCTTTGACCTACTAGTCTTCTCATTATTCTTCAGGACAGATGGGTTGGACATCTGTCAACTCTTCCTACAGCCCCTTTGTTGACAGCTGTGTGGAATATTTTTCAATGTACAAAATGCTGCTTTGGGGAAAGAACTCCACTTTGTACAAAATTTATTTTTTATTCAAATAGCTACTGTAATAAGGTAATATTCTGTAAAATCTTCCATTTCAAAACTACTTTTTCCACTTCAGACAAGGACTCCACCCATCCCACAGGAAGCTCAATGTAGTTAAGAATATTTACATAAAATCAACTAAGTGGGAGGGTTAGTTATTGACAGCATTCTTGCATTTTGTACCATTCTGCCCATCTCTCAGTGGAAAACACCATCTCTATCTAAGGAAATTACGTGCAAAGCAAGCAAGTGCTTTAAGCCCCCTTTTTTTTTCTTTTAGAATTTACAAGCCAATTTATAATTTCAAATAAATTCAGAATTTTCATTATTTCATGATTTGTGTTTTACTTAAATTAAGGGGTATCACAGAATGTTTTCTACTGTGCTTGCATATAAAGGAAACAAACAGAAAATGTGCTTTAAAAAAACACTGAAGAAAAAAAAACAGGTAATTTTGGAGAAATTCTTTGAGTCATAATCCATTCAGATCCTAAAATTAACAGCAGAAATCTTAATGACTATAGCTGAAAAAGAAACAAATCCAGTTATAAATTCTAGAAAATTTCAAATTGTAAACTCATTGCTTTATTTTTTGTGTTCTCTGATATAATTCACTGCTAATTCATCATTCAGTCACATCAAACTGAAGATTGAGAATTCTATCCAATCCTAGTAGCTGCAAAGAACTAGGTGAATCTGTGCAGTGTTTAATGCTGACTAGCCTCTTTGGCCCAAAGGTTTGACAGTCTGTTTCAGAACTACACCTGCAAATAAGACTAGTTTGTACAGTTTTTCTTTTGTCAGTCACACTTTAGGCACCTCCTTATTAAACTATTAAGAGCTGTACTAACACATGAAGATAATCTGCTGAGGTAGGAATCACTCATTCAGAT